TAATAAATAAATATGTAAGCATTGTGTTTATCAACTTTTCACCACTCACTATCATTTTATAATAAATATAAAAAAATAAAATAATAAGAGCAATATAAAAATAGCTAGATTTTTATTATATATATATATATATATATATATTACATATATGTTATTTATTATATACATTATATTTAAATATTAATGTACTTTATTTTAACTACATTATATCATTACAGATATAATTTGAATCATTTATTTATTAGATTTAGAAGTTTCTTTATTATCTAAATATAATTTTTTATATAATTTTTCATATTCTACTTTAAGTTTTTCTCTTTGACCAAAATATTTTGGATATTGAGCTTTTTCAATTGGATCCCAAAAATCAAGCACAGCATCGGGTGGTTCAACAAAACGCCCATGAACTATTCCACCTGGACTATCAGGAAATTTATATGGATCCCAATGACATTTTTTAAATAATTCTTCTTCGCCTTCCAATAGTAATTTTTTTGCAATACGAGCATCTGGTATATGTCGATTTTTTTCAAAACGTTGTCTTAATAAAACTGCTTCATATCTAAATTAAAATAATCCATATTATATATATAATAATAACTTCTAATTATAATAATACATTCATGAGATTTTCTATATTTCAATAATTATATATTAAATCTTAAATAATTAGAATTATATAATAATAATTAAATATTTGAAGAAGTTTAAAATATAAATTTAACAATCCTTATTAGTCCTTTTATTAATCTTTAAAGCTATTATTGAAAAAAATTGCATGAAAACAGCTCTTGAAATAAAATTTCATTCATATAATGGCATTTAAAAGTTAAAATAATAATAATAATTTATTAATTATTATATTTTTAAAGTTAAAGTAATAATTATAATTTATTAATGTTTTTTATATATCAATATAAATTTTACATAAATAAAAATTTAATGAAAAAATTTATAAAAATTATTTAAAATAAATAATCAAGACAAGACTTACATCAGTGCAATAATATGTTTATAAGAAAAACATATTTAATAATATATGATTGATATTATTAAAAATTAATTAAGTATAAAAAATAATTTTTTTTATTATTATATTTAACTTAAAAATTTTTACCTATATTCATGTCTTCTATAATTAAAACTTTCTAATGTACGTAAAGCACGTTTGTAAAGACTACAAACTTTTTTAGTATGACTTATTAATCCTGATGGTAATTCAGCCATTTTCTTTTTAAAAGTCAAAATTTTTTTTTATATGATATTATTTGAGTTTTAAGATTACTTAACCAGTATTGGAATAAACTATCATAGTCATAAACTATAAGAAATTAAACTAGATAGGAATATAAAATCATAAAAATTATGATAAATAATTTAAAAATTATTTTGAATTAATAACATATACAATTTATTATTATATAATAAATTACAATACTATAACAATAATTCTTATGAAATAATTATATGTATAAAACTTTTTAAATTATAATAAAAATATGCATTATGTACATTTATTTCTTTTATTTTTTGATTATTTTTTTAATATAATATATATAATTTATTTTAAATTTATGTAATAATATCATGTATGATTTTTTTAAATTTGTTAAATATTAAATAATATTAATAATACATTATTTTATATAATGAAAAATACATATATTTGAAATAAAATTATATATTAAAACAAAAGGCAAGAAAGTTAAAATAATTATAAAATTGAAATAATATATAATTTAAGATAGAAAAATATAACAGAAAGCTTCCGGTTAAGCAGTGTGACGGAAGTCTAGTTAACCATAAAGAATGGCGATTGTCATTTTATTTACGCATTCTTTATTTTTCAGCATACTTAACGACCGATTTTTAGAACGCGACACAAACTTTAGTATTCTCAACAATTGAGGAAACTTTTAATTATATCATTGTGCGATGAATTTAAATTTTGTTATTCATTTCAAATAGCAATATTTATAGTAAAAATCTTTAAAATTTAAATTAACCAAAAAATTCAATTTTTAATTTTATTCTCAAATAAATAAGTTACTTCAATTTTATTAAAAATTTAATTATAATAAAAGACAAATTTATTTATCTCTTTATTTTTCTATTTATTTACTTAATTCATGAATAAAATTAAAAGTAAGAATAAATGAAATCATTAATTTAATTCTATTTTAATTAAATTTTTAACATTTATATCACAAATATTAAATTTTTGAATGATATAAAGATTTCATTTAGTTATCAAATTAAAAACATAGGATCGAGTTTTCAATATTGACGACAATAATTTATTTCTTCGAACGATTTTCAACGGACGAAATGGTGCCGACGATGCCGCCTGATTCGCATAAAATTTCATTGAAGATTATTGAAGCGATAAAACAACATCCAGTTTTATATAGTGCTGAAGTAAAAGGTTCTTCTATTAAGCTTCAAGAATTTCGACAGAAGGTTTGGAAAAGGATTTCGGATGAACTTGGTCTTGATCGTACGAATTCGTTTTCTTCTTTGACCTTTTTCGGATAATTTTAATGTTATTGTATGCTATCGTTTTATCACTAAAATGTTTAATTTAATTTTTATATATTATTTTCAAATTTATTTCAATAAAAATATTTTTATATAATTTTATTTTATAAATGTCATAAAAATTGAAATAATATAATGAAATTTAAATATTTCTTTATAAAAACGTAAATATAAAGTTATATACGATATTTAATGTTAAGAAAAAAAATTTATTTAATAATAATAATATTTATTTATTAATTATTAAAAGATAATTATAATTATTCATT